GGCACGTTTGCCCACAAAGAGGGCTCCAAGGGCTGCCTCTGGCACCCATGCCATATGTTCGCTGGTGTATCGAGTATACCAGCAGTTGTGGATTACTGACAATTCTTTTGAACACTCTGAGAAGTGCATCTTGTCATCATAATGCTGGTGGGGCATTATGGCTCATTATAGAAAGCCAGCAGCTTGGTGTAGTCTGGATGCACCCACATGTTATCCACATTGTATCATTCAATTTGGCATCCGGTTTATTTGTATGGCAGTTCTTCATCCAGATTAGGGCCACAATGTTTCAGCTGTAGAGTATACTAATCCCAATGCTGAAGTTCTGAGCATAGAGGCTGAGGGAGGCCCCCCATTTATTTCCACAAGTTTATGGAGTATGTTATTTCTGGTATTAATATTTGCTGCAGTATTTTCTCTGTTTCTTACAAGAGAGAGTTCAATCCAGCATTTAAGCCAAGGTATTTTGGAAAAGGGTTGTAAGGCGGCAAGGTGTTATTGAAGGATATATCTTTGGAACTTATTTTTTGCTTCTTTGTTATTAAGCTAGAAACACATTGCTCCTGTTTTGCTCATGCTTGGGATGAGCCTCCAGTCAGCAAAAAACTTCCCCAGAACTTTTAGGTCTTCTGTGATTTAGCAGAGGCCCTTTTATTGCTCAAGGATATGGATTAGCATCATTATCTTAATGTCTGAGTTTCAAAAGGAAAAAAAAAATCACTGTGGTTCAAGATGCGTTGTGGTGCAAAGTTAATTAAAATAAATACGCCTTGCCATCCACTGGGAGACTATTTTAAAGCATTAGTCTTTGCTTCCAGCACAACGGTTTGAGGGCAATGCTTAGATGGTTTTAGGAAAATTATTTTACAACACCGACATACCAAAGTTGGTTAGTTTGTTTCATTTTGTTTTTGTTTTATTATGTTTCCAATGAACTGCATTCTGCTTTCTTTTCAAGATCTGTTGGCTATCCTAGTTACAAATAAACTAAATTTGGAAAGATGCTGAGGACTTGTTAACCATTTGTTCTGAACTGAGCTATCGATGTGAAGATACTGAACCAGAATCTTTCACTTGACAAAGTAATGTTCGTAGCCTGTAATGTTCCAACAGTATGTTACCATAGGAACAAAATGTTAGTTGCTTCTGTATACAAGAAAATCACTTCTGAACATAAAAACAGGGAAGATTAAAGAGCACTCTCTTCTCCATTAATTAAAGGCTACTTGCACCTTACTACAACCAACAAATAGCCTCTTTGTTCTGCCATGTTCTCACACCTTTAGCATGCAAACTGTGATATATAAAGCTATAGGTTAGGGTTAATATTCATATTTTAAAAAGAGAGTAATCCTCTTTTTAGAGAGCTATGCATGCTTTGCTATTTTTGTGTGTGTGTGTATCCTCGCCAGTTGTGATTGTCAGAAGGAAGTGTAGGGGTTGGGTTTTTTTTGCCATTTAGAAAGTTAAAAACATCCCAGATAGGCTTAGCAAGCATTTTTTAAAAAATGAATACTTTCCATTCCCTTCAAAATCCAACAAAAAGCAAAAAATCTCAGTCTTGGACACTATGTGTTATAGCATCACCACCAGATGGATTCGTAGCTGGCTGACTGGCCGTATTCAGTGTGTGGTCCTCAATGGAACTTCATCTACATTGAGGGAAATGTGTAGTGGGGTGCCCCAGGGCTCTGTTCTGGGCCCAGCTCTTCAACATCTTCATCAACGATTTGGATGAGGAAATAGATGGGGAACTCATCAAATTTGCAGATGACACCAAGATGGCAGGAATAGTCAACACTCCAGAAGATAGGCTTAAGATACAGGAGGATCTGGACAGACTTGAACATTGGGCGCTATCTAACAAAATGAAATTCAATGGTGAAAAAAGTAAGGTTCTACATTTAGGCAAGAAAAACTAAATGTACAGGTATAGTATAGGGGGTACCTTGCTCAATAGTAGCAACTGTGAGAGGGATCTCGGAGTCTTAGTGGACAATCATTTAGATATGAGCCAGCAATGTGCTGCAGTTGCCAAAAAAGCCAACACAGTGTTAGGCTGCATTAACAGAGGGATAGAATCAAGATCACTTGAAGTGTTAATACCACTCTACAATACCTTGGAAAGGCCACACTTGGAATACTGCATCCAGTTTTGGTCACATGATATAAAAAAGATGTTGAGACTCTAGAAAGAGTGCAGAGAAGAGCAACAATGATGATTAGAGGACTGGAGGCTAAAACATATAGGAACGGTTGCTGGAATTGGGTATGTCTAGTTTAATGAAGAGAAGGATGAGGGGGGACATGATAGCAGCGTTTGAATATCTCAGGGGCTGCCACAAAGAAGAAGGAGTCAAGTTATTCTCCAAGGTGCCTGAAGGCAGAACAAGAAGCAATGGATGGAAGCTAACCAAGGAGAGAAGCAACCTAGAACTAAGGAGAAACTTCCTGACAGTTAGAACAATTAACCAATGGAACAACCTGCCTCCAGAAGCGGTGAATGCTCCAACACTGGAAGTTTTTAAGAAGAGACTGAACAATCATTTGTCTGAAATGGTATGGGGTTTCCTGCCTGAGCAGGGGGTTGGATTAGATGACCTCCAAGATCCCTTCCAACAACAACATCATCATCATCATCATTATTATTATTATTATTATTATTATTATTACACCCCAATCAACACTGGCAAGACAGTTTACTGCATATAAATGGGGTGCAAACTGCAAACACACTAACCCTGATGTACTCAGTGGTGGGATTCAGCCAGTTTGCACCAGTTCGGCAGAACCAGTAGCTAATTTTTTGTTGCCCAAGCCCAGAACAGACTTCTGGAAGCAACATCCACACAGAGAACCGGTTGTTCACATATTTGAATCACATCACTGGATCTACTATTTGGTTCATGAAACATCTGCAAGTAAACAAACTCAGAGAATACTAAGGACTTCATAGTTCAAACCTGAGCCACATATGTTTTCTTACATTAATTTACACTAAGTTAAAATCATAAAGAGAATTTTTATAAAATGACATAACATTCTTATATGGCACCAGAGAAATTGGAACTTATAATGGCACTCCAAATTTATGTTGAAAATGTGAACGAGAAGGGAAATTTTTTCTTGCTTCATGGATGTGCAAAAAAGCTATACATTTTTGGATTCAAACACCTGATTCAGAGGATTGTAAGGAATAATATATAACTGAGATCAGAATGCTTGGGATTGATAGACAAACAGCTGGAAAAAAAGTTATTGGACTTTGTTTTTGTGAATGATAGACCCAACAAGATGATTGTGTGCAAAAGTTGGAAAGATTTGGTAATACCTACAATGGGGGAATGATTGTTGAAGGTGATAAAATTTGCTGAGACAGCCAAATAGCTTAATTAAAGAAAAGATGTTTATTGCTGACTGAAAATCCCTTATGGACTTTATACGGTTCTGTCAATTAGATAGCATGAGTTATAGAAAGAAGACAGTCATGATGTAACTTTAGAGGAGGAGGTGAACTTATGATTGTACTTGTAACTTCTGTAAAGGTAAATGGAAACCTTTTCTATTTTTCTTTTATTTATTTCTTGCACTTTGGGCTTTGATTTCTTTCTCTTTTTTATTCATCACCCTATATTCATTTTTATTTTTGATTTTAAAACATTCAATATATATATATACTGTATCTCGGCCCATTGTGGTATAAAGCATCAATCAGGTTCCAATCATTACTTCACCAAAGAAATCAACCCAGCAAACCTTCTGAAATCCATAAAACCTTTTATCATTTGGGCAAGTGAGATTTTAAAACAGCAGCACATTATGGAGACAGATTACTACTAATTTAAATTGAGACTGGCAACCTTTTAATAATTAGGATATTTAAGATTTTATGGGAGGGCTATCCTGGCTTAAGTAGACTGGACTATAACACATAGTGTCCAAGACTGAGATGTTTTGCTTTTTGTTGGATTTTGGAGGGAATGGAAAGAATTCATTTTTAAAAAAATGCTTGCTAAGCCTATTGGGGTGTTTTTAACCTTCTAAATGGCAAAAAAAACTACACTTCCTTCTGACAATCACAACTGGCGAGGATACATGCACACCGACAAAAATAACAAAGCCCGCATAGCTCTCTAAAAAGAGGATTACTCTCTTTTTAAAATATGACCCTAACCTATAGCCTTATATATCACAGTTTGCATGCTAAAGGGAGCAACTGTTGTTACTTTTTGACATCAGTTGCCTACCAGTACTGACTTGCTTCAACCTGGGAATAATATTCAAGTTACACTTTTATTATAAAATCACAAGACTTCCTTTGCCCCAAGAATGCTATCTTCCAATGCTTTCTCATGGCTTTTCTTTCCTTTAAAAAAAAAGAAGAAGGCAGTTAAGCAGGAGAAGACAGAAAGCTGCTGAATTTTTTTTTTTTAATGATAAAACCTGGAACCATCTGGGAATAGCCTCACTTCTCCAAAGAGAAGATTGGACCAAGTGAAGATGCCTACCCAAGAATTGTGAGATCCACTTTCTTGTAGGAAAGCTAACCTTTCAAAGATAACCTAACATAGGTAGATAATATACAAAGTAATGCCTTTACGTGGATCAACTCTTAATGATTTCAACACCTTTACAAGAAATAATGGAGTCTGAAAGGATTAATTGCAAATTATTTGGTATATCTACCTAGAAGTATTCACAACTGCATGCCAAGCCTTTGATCCATTCATACTTACATTATGTTTTCTGTTTTGTAAGGAACATTTTAAAAAGGCTTGCCATATGAAAATGGAAATACAGATAGGAAAGACACTTGAAACTTTTAAATAAATAAACCATTGGCTCAGAATGTTAGATCATAGCTCTCTCACTTTCTATTACATGAAATAAAAGAACAGCAACATCCCATACTATTGCATGCCCTTTTGTCCAAAAAAGTAAATCTTCTGGCTGGTGGTAAATGATGGTTAAAATAAATGGCTTCAAAGAGATCCCTACAAAGGGGCAGGTGATATAAGGCAGTTATGGTGTCTCATTTACCTTATTCTTTTCTATATGGACCCGGAAAAGGGCAGAATAAATACAGGAGAGATTGTTGTGTTGCTTCGTTCTCTTGTTGTCAGGCAAGCCCTAGGTGGCCTGGGATTTGACAATGGTTTATTGTCATAACTCTCAATGGAAATTAATTCATGCTTTGGAGGATATGGTTGGGAGGATTTCACTAAGGTAACAGATGGGTTTCATGAAAAAAGAACTGGAACAGAATCTTGCTGGGAACAGGGCAGATCTCTCTGCAAACCTGTAAGGTTCTTTTATTTATCTCCAAACTTTGTGGTTTCTTTTTTGTTACTGAGTCACTCTCTCCCCACTCCTCTGTTTCGCATTTGACATGCTGAAGTTAACTCTGCCTTGTTTACTTTCTCTAAACATGGGTATATGTTTACAACACTACTTTCTGCGCTCTCTCTTTCTTCCTTCAATTTTCTGTTGATCTTGATATTTGTTTACCTCAAGTTTGCTCTTTCCAAGATGAGAATCCTGCTATATTGCTGGGTGGCTCTCTTTTTCCTTGGCAATCATGAACTTTGTGGGGAAAAAGCTGCATTGTTTGCCATTGCATGAAAATGGGAGTTGTTAGGATGGATGACTTGGTTGTTTATTAGTTTTTTGAATCGCTGGTTAGACCCAGGGCATCAGAGATGGAGCATTTGGCTTGATCAGGCAAAGCATCAGTCTCTCCAAGAAGTTGGTTTTTATTTATCTTCCACATTTTGTAAAACTGAATAATGCTTGTAAGAGGGGAGAAAAGAGGGCAAAATGAAAAGTATAACAAAACAAGAGGCAGATTTTTTTTTCTCTTTCTGTGTCAAAGCATGACTAAGTGCACAGCCAGTATCTTATATTACATGAGCTAATAAGTAACTTGGCTGAGCTGTTTAGATTTCATTTGGATTTTTTTATGAGACCATTTTCTTTCATTGCATTCCTAGATATCCCTGCTTCAGTGAACTGTTTATATCTGTTAACCCTTTTATAATTTAAAAGGTTTTCACAAGTGCAAGACAGTGGGATTGTACAGCTTGCCCTTGTAAGTTCAGGAACTGGCTTAAGAAGTTATAAATTCTAAATTGTTGAGCTTTGATCAGGAAGATGCAAAACACTATCCTTTCCTATTTTTCCCAGGGCTGAGCTGAAGGAAGAAGTCCTTGGCAGAAGGAGTAAGAACTTCCTATCCGGACAAACTAACACATGTCAGGAAGTTCAGCCTATCATTTCTGTCTTTTAATAAGAGACATTTCAAAGAAGTTATCTGCCTGGAAGGTTTAAAATACTGCATCCCTTTCTGCAATTTGCAATTCAAAGCTTTACAATAATGGCAGGTTTCATTCCAATCCCTTTCTCAATTATTTTTAAAGTGACTTTACTTTTTTTACAACTACTCAGCACCAAATTAGACTTTTCCTCTATCTTTCCTCTATGCTTCCAGATCACTTTCTTTGTTAGTATTTATTTATTTATTTATTTTGACAAGGTTTCAGACTGCCAAGCTTATACATAATGTAAGAAATAGAGGAGAACCCAGAGGATAAAAAAGAGATGCATGTATGTATGGGAAATCTACCAATATGGCACAGATTTTTCAAATAAACAAATATAATCATAAACAGTAATGTTAATAACTTGGGAACTGAGTCCAAAAGTATTAAGTAGTACCATAAAGATAAAGTGCAATAAATTAATTTATATTATTGTGCATTTGAATGATTTTTCACTTACAATTTCCATATCATTTGTAAATTGTTACTCCAATATAGTACAAATGAAAAACAAGCCAGTCTCTCCATAAAAAAAGGGATTAGCCCAATCTGATACCAAAACTGACAATATTCATGCATTAATATAGAAATACGTAAGTCTCACATGTAATTATTTCACTAATGGTAATTCGGGAGCAAAGAAGTTTCAAAAATAGATCACAATCCAAATGATTAACCTACTTTTCATCAAAAGGTTTATTTCTATATCTGTGGATCAAACAGAAATTAATTTTATAAAATGTACCTGCTAATATAATTGCAATAATATGTTTATCTCTATTCAGCAACTGTCTGGTATTCATCATAATATATGTATCTGAGGAAATAGACTTTACTAGAAATCATAACCAAAGCGATTATTAGTTTTATTTCAAAATGTTAATTACTTAGGACAGTGATGGCGAACCTTTTAGAGACCGAGTGCCCCAAAACTGCCCCCATCCCCGTCCCCACTCTGCCTTGGCCGCTGCGCCACCCACCACCTCCACGGCCCACCACAGATCACCCAGGCAGGCCCAGCAGCGCCATGGTAGCCACTCCCTCCAACCATGCCTCGCAGCATCATCTGCATGCGATGGGGCGCAAGGGCAGAGTCTTGTCCCTACTGCCTGGCTACCACATCCTTGGCTGTGCCACGCCCAGGGGTGACTCTCCTCCAGGGGGGCTGCTGGTGAGGAGGGGGCTGTGGGAGAAGGCGGGGCTGGGACGACAGTGCGTGTGCCCACAGAGAGGGTTCCAAGTGCCGCCTTTGGCATGCACACCATAGGTTCGCCACCACTGACTTAGGAAATAGGTGTCATATAATTTTTACTGATGAAAAATATGCTTTTTATTACACCTATGTTTTCAGAATATATTTGAATTCCCTTTGTATTCCTTTGTCTTCCACTGAATTAATGACCACTAATTGAAATCTTTAGGAAAAATCCAAGCTTGTCTCCCTTTGAAATAACTTTTGGGATTATATTTTCCTTTATTAGTTATTTTGAATGGGGCTCCCTCCTTGCCTAGGATCCAGGGCAACTGACCTTACTTCTCTTCATTTAAAACAGGGTCTCCAAACTTGGCAACTTTAAGACTTGTGGACTTCAATTTCCAGAATTATGGGAATTGAAATATACAAGTCTTAAAGTTGTCAAGTTTGGAGATCCATGGTTTTTTTTTTTTTTTTTTACAAAAAGGACCTAATTTAGTGGCCTGCAGTGAGCAGGAGGGAAAAAGTCCTAGAGTTAATTTGCTAATTATCTGTCTTTTTCAGGGTTAGGGTTAGGGATTGCATTCTGGTCCCAATTAGAATCATAAACTGAGAACTACCTGTATGCCCAGATAGTGAATAGCAAACAGTTTTGACTTTATAGGAAAAACAAAAAAGATTGGGCACTTGGTACAGCCTAGCACACCACACCACACAGTAGAGATAAGAAATTGCTTAGTGCAGTTTTTCCAATATGCATGCTTATCTTACCATGACTTCACCTATGTCCAGTACAAAGTTGCTTGACACCTAATTTGTAACCAATAATCTGTTTGTGATTTCAGTCTCTTTGTTCCTGTAAAGTAGATTTAGTCTGCATTTGGTGGTGAGAAGGGGGTCATTTACCTTGAGAGCACTGTTAACATGTCCTTTGCATGACTGATCAGGCTCAGCTGACCCTTGAAAATAAACTATTTGGAGACTGGGTTTGTAGCCTGGACTGAGGGGTTGAACGAATCAGGATGACGCTTGTGATAAAAATAGCTGAGAAGGGAGAGGGAACTGTGGTTCTTACGAGCTTTCTCTCAAACAGCATATGTATGATAAAATAATGGGACTGTGTATATTTCATAGAGTATATTAAAAGCCACAAAAGTTTAAACCAGTCACTACTAATCCTAATTTAAAATAGATAAATCCCAGGGACCTACTGCAGGTAATCCTTGACTTACAACAATTCATTTAGTGACCTTTTGAAGTTACAACGACACTGAAAAAAGTGACTTATGATCATTTTTCACACTTACAAACATTGCAGCATTCCCATGGTCATGTGATCAAAATTCAGATGCTTGGCAACTGACTCATATTTAGGACGGTTGCAGTGTCCCAGGAATCACGTAATCAACTTTTGTGACCTTCTGACAAGCAAAGTCAATGGGGAAGCCAGATTCAATGAACAACTGTGCTATTAATGTAACTGCTGTGATTTACTTAACAACTGTAGCAAGAAAAGTTGTAAAATGGAGCAAAATTCACTTAGTTGTCTTGCTTAGCAACATAAATTTTGGGCTTATGGTTGTAAGTTGAGGACTGCTTGTATTATGTAGTACCCCACCCACCTATAATCCATCAAGGTCTCCACTGGCTTTTCCAGATCCATAGTTGCCTGCCCATGACTCCTGCTATCTGCCCGCACTCGGAAGTGCCCGCCTTCAGACCCTTAATGGCCCACCCACAGCCCACACAACCTGCCCCATTCAGAAGCACCTGTCCACAGTCCCCACTGACCCACCCATAGCCACCTCGGCCCACAAACATTTCTTAGTGCCCATGATAGTTACCATCACACTGTCTGTGACCTCTGCCAGATTAGGAGGACCCACCTAAGGCTCCCAACTGGCTTGCCCACACTCCTTAGCACTCACTCATGGCGCCTGTCTGGGACTCCCGCCTCTTCCCTCTTAAGGACCCCTGCAATCGTGGGGTTGCAATAGCAACAGGGAATGTTGGGATCACTGTTGCTAAGGGATGTTGCTAAGGGATGCATCATTTAACCAAAATTCTGGTTCCGATTGCTATCGTAACCTGAGGACAACCTGTATTGTTGGAGATATTGTAATTACTAGCATTTGGACACACAATCTAGGACACGGGTCGGCAACCCGCGGCTCCGGAACCGCATGAGGCTCTTTGAGCCACCTCCTGCGGCTCCGGAGCCTGCTCCACCATTTGCAGAGAGAGAGAGAGAGACAGAGACAGAGAGGCACTTGCACTTCCCTTCCCTCTCCCCCCCTCTCTCTCATGGGACTTGCCCCCTCACAGGGCTCCTGATTAGCCCTGTGCCCAGGTGCCCCACCCACTGGGAGAAGGGTGGCCAGGAAATCCCTTTCCCAGGCTGGCTCAGTCCAAGGCACACGTAGCCAGGGAGCCGCAAGGGGAAGCCCCGGGATCCCCCCAGGGAGTGGCCCACCAAAGCCTCCGCTAGGATGAGAAGTACCAGTGTCGCTGGTGGACAAAGTTGACCAGTCTGCGGGCTGTTGCAGCGGTTCTGGCCCAAAGATGCTGGCAGTATAGAAGGTGGGCGGCCCGGGGACAGCCCAGGGAATGATGCCATCGCTGGCCGCTGCCCCAGCCGGAATTCCACGCTGCCCAGGCTCGCCCTCTGCCCATGGGATGTAGACATGGTGCCACTGGGGGGGCTAGTGCCACGACAGGCCGTCCCTGGGTGGTGGTGGCAGGGGCGAGCGCTGCTCCGGGGTGCCCAGGCGACGTAGCATGGGGCGGCA